TATTTCATTCATTTCTTGCTCAATAGCAACCCAGACTATAAGGGTGATTACTGTTCTGAGAAGCAGAATACTGCAGTAGTGCGTTGCAAAATCAACAGCATTCCGTGTGGTTCATTGATATTCTGTTTTTACAAATTAACTTTTTTTTGTTCCAGTGTTTTGAGGAGTCTAAACATATTCAGAATATGTTCCTTCACCACTGTGTTTTTCACATCCTAATCGTTCAAGCAAAGTGAATGGATTTAGGTACAGTAGCAATGGGTGTACTGCTGGAAGAACTGAAGGATCTGGTTAGGGATAGAGGGCCTTGGAGAATATCTATGTGATTTCTGAGAATTAGTACCAGTGATGCAGTGGTGGGTTCCGGATCCTATTGCAACCGGTACGCTGCAATGGGGCCCGGCATCCACCATGTGCACGCGTGCAGCAAATGCACAGCCCGTGCATGCGTACTAACCACCTGCGATGCTCTAGCTGCTCGGTGGAGTGTCACACAGGTGCCATAGACTCCGTGCCTGTGCGCAAAAGCCCCGATCGGCTCAAACAAAGGTAAGGAGGACGGGCAGGCGGGTGGCCCTCCAGAGCACCATACTGGAATGGTACCTGGTGCTCCCATCAGGCACTGGTAGGCCCGTACCGGGGCATACCGGTCGTATCCCACCACTGCAGTGATGGCACATAAGCAACCTTTCAAAGGCAGTTTAATAAACAAGGCACTGCCACTGAAGTTGTAACCCTAAGATTAAGGAGGAATGATCACATGCCCAAATTATCGCAGCAAAAATGTATTGACGTTCAATACCACACAGACAAGAAAGAAAACACCAACGTACCCTAGTACTTTCATGCACATGGTCCATTGCCTAGAAGAATACCTTATTCAACTTCCCTGACTTGACACCGAGGGGTAAAGCTGTTAAGCCAACATTCCCTTTATAAGAACTTTTTGAGCCTGAGAGGAGAGTGAAAATGGCGGGTGAAGGGAGGCTCCCATGGAGAAAACTGCCCGTGTTCTGCACAGCTATGGCAGCTTTAAAATCCGCTTCAGGGCAATTCACTTGCACTGCATTTGAGCCAGAAGTAAATCAATTTAGCAGCTAAAGAGAAATGATGGCATGGGATCAAGGAGACTAGCACAAATACCTCTTATGGAAGTGCTGTAATAAATATTTAATTGCTTTATTGAACTGAAGCATTGATGTTAGGCCTACAGAGGCCTTGGGACTAGCAGCCATGCTCTACGTTCTCTAACCTTGTCAGTTTTCAAGCATTCCGCGGTATAGTTAATTAACTTCTACCTCAATTCTAGCTTCAGCTGCAGTATTAACGTTTTGCCCCATTAATGCTGGAATTGCAGGGCAGGCATTATCTCATTGGCTGGAGTTCTCACAACTTCTGAGTCCCATGACCTTCCCACTTGCCTACTGAAAAGGCTGTGGTTGTCACCATTCCTTATGAAGACTTATGAAGTCAAGGGGGCAGAGCTCCTTGCTACCCTTTATGCAGACATCATAATGTTGTTATTCATTTATTTTCAAGTTATTTATTATACTTTAATAAAGAATACTTTAATACTTTAATAAAGTTATTGAAGTTATTCTGCCTTTACTATTTTTACAAGCAACTCAAGGTGGTAAACATACATAATGCTCCTATCCTCCTATTTTCTCCACAACAACCACTTTTGAGATGTTAGGCTCAGTGGTGAGATTCAATTTTTTTTTACTACCGGTTCTGTGGGCATGACTTTGTGGGAGTGGCAGGAGAAGGTTACTACAAAATCCCCATTCCCTCTCCGTCCCAATAATCTGCTTTCCAGCTCCGTTCTCCTGTTCAGGGCAACAAAAGAAGATCAGCTGGGAGGCAGCAGGGGCGGGGCCAGCCTATTTGCCGGTTCTCTGGACTACTCAAAAATTCCGCTACCGGTTCTCCAGAACCTGTCAGAATACTGGCTGAATACCACCTCTGGTTGGGCTGAGGCAGGGCAACTGGCCCAAGATCACCCAGCCAGCTTTTATGGCTAAGGTGGGACTAGAACTCGTGGTTTTCCATTTTTTAGCCTGATGCTTTAATGAACAATGAAGACAGCTGGGAGAAGTTTCTGACATTTTGTGAGGTAAAACTGGCAGCTTTATGAAAAGTACTCTGAGAGATGATGGAAAAAGTGACNAATAAATGTTAATGTTTAATAAATTTATATGCCGCCCAATCCCGAAGGACTCCGGGCGGCTTACATAAAAACAATTTAAAAGAACACTAAAAAGTTTAAAAAGTAGAAGACAAGGCAAGTTAAAAAGACACAACATGCACTCAACCTTAGTGGTGCTGGATCTCATTCAAGAGGTCAACAGCCCCAGGCCTGCTGGAAAAGCCAGGTCTTAATAGACTTTCGGAAGACCGCGAGAGTGGGGAGGGTCCGGATCTCTGGGGGTAGATCGTACCCCCCCGTACTTTTGGATAAAGTATCCAAAAACAAACCCAATTAATATTAACAATAAAATTTTAAAAACTAGATTAAAATTAACAATTCATCATTTCTTTCCAACTCAATTGCAAATAGATCAAGGCAAAAGATTTCAGTGAATGCTCATATGAACCCAGTTGAGGCTGTTCTCTCATAACAAGGGAATGAGTGATTTTGGAAAGAACAGTTGAACTGAGTTTAGTAATCTAGTATTAGTATAGCCTTACACACATTCTATATGTATATAAAATTATATGGGAAGGAAAAAAAAACATGGTTTATTCCGAGCCAGATGCTCAGTCTAATATTTCTAATGCTGGAATGTATACAAGAAGAGAGGTGAAAGATTATTTAATTACAGTCTTCTCAAATTCATTAGTTTTATTTTTCCAAGGTTGAGCATTTTCCTTTGTATTAGCCAAACGTTTCTCATGAAACTGCAGATTAAATGCTTTTTCAGGGCAAAAATATTACTCTAGCTGGCAAAACATAAGTGCTCTTGTACTTACATGTGCTTCGACATCTGTTAATTTGCGGGTCTGTTCCGCTGTTTGATTTAATAGGTTTGTGCCCAATTCAATCATCACTGCTGTCTGATTCTGAACCACATTCTGCTGAATCTCAACCATTTCTTTTTTCATATTATCTTGGATATAATTCTCAATCTGCATATAGAACAAAGAGAAGATATGTTACCTTACAATCCAGACACAGTTTTGACTTCTTTGTTGTTGTTGTTGTTGTTGTTGTTGTTGTTGTTGTTTTAAAAGGTAAACCAAATGGGGAAGTGTGTTGTAAACCACACAAACTGACTTTCATCCTTAATCTTCCTGAGCCAAATCTAGTACATCTTGTATTTCCAGTAGCCAATATAAAAAAGAGAAGAGATAAAATTAAAATAAAATACTGTTGGCTCTAATATAATATAGACTATTAAACATTAATTATTATTTTGGTCTTCTTTCAAGGAAACTCTTTATCATCATTTCTTGCTTAAGAAAAATGGAGACAGATTGTCTAAAGGAATTAAAGTAGATGATGAAAAGAGTTTAGATACGACGTATGATGTGACTCAACATTGTGATACAAGTGTGTCCCTTTTTTGTCCATGTGATGTTGGAGAGTATATATCTACCCGGATGCTTCCCACTATTGTCACCTTTTGTGGCATTGGATCGTTGTGCATTTTGTTTAAGACGAGAGCAATTTAGACAAAGGCTCAACAATTTAGTCATCTTCCTGAATCAAGTTCAAATATGTAAGAATATCACAAACCTACGTTGCTGAGATTAGACAAGAAGTCTGGTATGTTATTTGTACGTTGTTACTCAACTTTCAGGCAAACAAAACATAAAAAGAGTGAGAAATAATATCTTTCTTCAAAGAATGCCAAAATAACAACTATTTCAAAATTATCTTGGGTCACGTTCTCATAAATGTTTCAGCATGTGTGGCCAATATCATATTCCAAGATTTAATGTTTTTTTTTAAAGGCGCTGTTTATATTAAAAATTGCTTGGTGGGGTGTTTTCTTATAGATCCCAAATTCTTTGAAAATTAATTTTCTCACAGTCCCTTTTTCTTATGTCTAATACAGGCCTAAAAACTTTATTGTCCTCAGTCAGCATTTCAGTTGTTGGATTTCTTATCACCTTTCATCATTAAATTTTCTTCAACTCAAAAAATAGTTAAAATCTAATTCGTAATAGGAAAAAATTCTTGATCTTTTTAATTATGTCCCTTCCTTTTTTCTTTCCATACAATATTCAACTCACTACTCACTCCCAATAGAGAACATTCTCTAATTTTATTTCCTCAAATCAGCCTTCCTAATTTAGATGTAATTTAGCCCTCCAGATGTATTAAGTCTCTAAATTCAACAATTTTCAATAAAGATTCTCAGTCATCCAAGTAGAGTTGTCTGGATCTTCCAGATTCAATTATTCTTAAAATTGAGAATTGTGTTTATTCCAGATAATAGCACATATGTATTTTTATTTGATCAATAAATATACAAATTATTTTTTAATATTCCTATGATCACATTTATTTCTATTTACATCTATTTGTGTGTGTGTGTGTGTCTGTGTCCCCTATAGGAACTCTCTGTGTTATCTACAATCTGCTTGAAGAAATCAGCATTAATTCCTTTTTTTTTGCTATGACTTTTATCATCATTGAACATTCATCAATTCTTCCTTTGAATTTTGCCTGATAGAATAAATTCAAACTCTCTGACCTGACTGTTTCTCTTTGGAAGAACGTTAGTGAGACATTTAGTCTTAATTTAAGGAGCGAACAATGTGTAGTCTGTGGCCTAGAGATAAGGCCCACAACAATCACCTCAATGACACTTCATGACAAATGCCAAAAATGTAAATTAAATGTTATTTAATTTAAAAGGTGTCCACTAAGCTTAAAACATCTGTTTTATGTTAATTATGTTAACCCAAACCTGCTTTTCCCAAGATTAACATCTTCTCCCCTATCCTCTTACAATAGAATCCTCTGCCCCCTCGTTTTCAAAGGAGGTGTGTATATTTCTAAAATGTAGCTCTGATTCAGGAAAGTGTTTTCTGCCTAAAATTTAAATGTTGTGTGGAAAAGAGTGCATATAATTAATAAAGATATAAAAATACTTTTTACTTAAATGCAATATCATTCCTTGAGCGCCAGTCTCGATGACACTCATCCATCATTTGAAAAGAAAAGATTTGCCAGTTCCTCTTTAAAATAAGACTGTTCCTGAATCTGGTGTACATCTATTTCACAGCGGAAAAAAATCAAATGCTAGACTAGCAAACTGGCTGTGCTTTCCCAGATATTTTTACTTATTCTTCATCTATGTGATTTATAATTCCACTTCAATGCAAAATAACTAAACCTCCTCCTTAACAAGACTTAGTATTTTATTAATGTCACCAGGCACTTTTGTACTTGGCAGTAATGACATTATATGGAATTCTCCATTTTTGCCTGCTAAATGCTACCCTTTATGAAGAACATATGTAAATGTTACAATACATGATGCAAATCATTTTGTAGAAGAAATATCTAGCCAGAACATTAATATATGGTTACACCGAAAAAAGGTTGTGGCCTGAAGGCAATGAACTAGAGAAAATCCAAAGAGTTTGAAATTGGAAAGCTTGCATTTTCTTTGAACAGTAGATCTCCTGCTGTCAGATGGCTTTTCAAAGTCATGTTTGAAATTTCACTCCTTCACATGAAATCAGTTGTTCAATTTCCAGCCCGGGGCCAAGACTAAGAAATCTACTTTGAAGAATTAGGGTTCCTGTTTGTCTTGGATAGCAAATTTGGGACTGTATGTACATGTATTCAAACAACATGTGTGTGCTTTTCCATAGAGGCTAAATGGAGATTAAATGAATGTAGAGAGAAGAAACCTGAATGACAAAAAATGGGGAGATAAAGCTAAAAGGAAAAGAAATAGAAACATTGAAAATTGATGGCAGAAAAAGTCCTAGTGGTCCATCAAATCCTCCCTTTGAGTTTTTGTTTGCTTTTCTTATTGTTGTTATTTCCTAATTTTAACTGAATGATAAACATGTGTCTATACCAAGCATGACTATGGGATGTTGCTATCATCATAAATGCATAATAGCTACTAAGCAGTCATGATCATGGCACCACGGAGATACTGCAATGGTCGTAAGTGGGAGGACCGGTCATAAGTCACTTTTTTCAGAACTGTCATAACTTCAAACAATTACTAAATGAATGGTTGCTATAACAAGGACTACCTGTAAATGCAGACTCCAGGTGCAATGAAATTTTTCACTTTGAATGGCCACTGCTGATAGTGACAGCATGATCAGATCTATTGTTGCTGGATTTGTGTGAATCAATATTTAATTTTTAGGCCAGGGCATATGTTACAAACTAATATCATTGTTATATTGTGTTTTGTCAATGTAATAGTCTCTATTGTAATATGGGCAACTATATAAATTATTATATAGTCTAAATGAATAGACTTGCTTCAGAAGTCTAAGCATTTTAAAATTGAGAGCTGAAGTGGCGCAGTGGTTAGGGTGCAGTACTGCAGGCCACTTCAGCTGACTGCTATCAACAGTTCAGCGGTTCAAATCTCACCGGCTCAGGGTTGACTCAGCCTTCCATCCTTCCGAGGTGGGTGAAATGAGGACCCAGACTGTGGGGGCGATATGCTGACTCTGTAAACCGCTTAGAGAGGGCTGAAAGCCCTATGAAGCGGTATATAACTGCTATTGCTATTGCTAAAATATCTTCTACTATATGTGCCAGAAAAGGCTGTGGTTGTCACAGCAGAATTAGAAGGATGTTTCTTTGGATGAAGGCTTTTTTAAATCAGAAACACTTAACAATCAGAGCAGTATTCATGACAAGGACTTTGGACTGCCCCTAGTACCTTGCCAACCAGGTTTATCTAAGAAGTTAAAAAAGCTTTTTTGAAAGAACTAGAGTGTGTTTTTTGGTCTCTCCTTGAATCGACTTTTAGAGCACTTGAACAAAGGTTATGGTAAAAATATGAATGTGTTAACATTGTTCTATATATTATTATGATGAGTTGTATATTGTGAGAGTGTGCTACAGCAATAGGTTTGATACAGTAAGCTGAGCATGGATTTACTGGATATAAACAAGTTGTGTGCCTTATAAAATCTTGATTTAGAAAATAAGAATTTACAATCCCTTCAGGTTTTGGTCTGGATAATACTAATATAACCTCAAAGCATTCTCTGCTGCCTTCTTTTTTTTCTTATGCAAAACTGGGGGTTAAGTTCCCAATAGATAACAAAAAGTTAACTACCAAAAGTTTTTAAAAAAAGTCTCACACAGGGAATTACATTTTTAAACAAGATTGTGCATCTATAGTATCACAGCAAGACTTATTTCAGAGTAAGAATGGCTATGAATAGTTTGTCTGCTAAAACGACGTATGTTTCTCAAAAATAATCATTTTAAAAGGAATTGTACCATTTTTCCAGATGATTCTCTTCAACTAGAACTGCCTAGCTCCAAGCTGATGGATGCTCACAGTTTTGCTCTTCTGTGAACATGTCATAATCTCCCATGCATCTATATTTGGTTGTCCTTCCCCCCTTTTTTTTAGCTTTCATTTGCCAAATTATTTGTTGGTCATGGTGTTCCTAGCAAAGCCAGTGAACTATTTGGAACTTGTTCTGACATTGGGATGTTTGGCTATTTGGAGTGATAGCCTATAATTAATGCGCTTTCAATAAGGACACTTGTCTAATTTAGCAGTTTTATGAATTGGTGCAGCTCCCTATAGTCCCACAAAAACCATGTGTGATTCCCTCAGTTATTCCTGTTAGGTATAACTACTGATTGTACTGTTGTAGAGACTAACTTGATTCTGTACCTAATAATGGCAGCAAGACTGTTGGTGTCACAGTACTGGAAGAACGTGTGATTTGCCTACTATTCAAGAATGGACATTAAAAGTAACAAACTTAACAGAGATGCCTAAAATATCAGCATATCTTAAGGATCACTCAGACGAGAAATATAAGATGGAGAAGA